GGTCGACACCACACCAGGGGGTGATGAGAGCGGCAGGCATACGGTAATGGACGTGCGACGGGCGGAGTGGTGAGGTGCACGAAAACGGGCTGAAGTGAGTGTTTTGCTATGGAGAAGCACACTTGAAAGGCGATTATACGCTAACCGGCAGACAATGCATACGATTCAGTCGATGCCGTCATACGGGAATTGAAATGGGACTGGGACGGGAAGCTGCAGACCGCCGCGTTGTGCGAAACAGCTCTTCAGCAGTGTGGGACGTGGAGATTAACAACGGATTGAGCGGATTGGTTCAATGGTACATAGGAAATGCAAGCAAACGGGTAGTGCTATGGCGTTGACTTTTCACTTTGACTTTTGAGGAAGACTTTGATCTGAAAAAAATCGGTAATTATTCCAAGAGTAGGGACTTCAGCGGAAAATCTCAGGAAGTGGATCGGATCTGAACTCGAATCGCAGTGCTCACCTAGTCAGGTCTTTCCATCTCATCAGGAGTCCCTCACAAATGTAGCGGCGGTACCCCCTTCTCCCCACCTCAGCACCCCATTCCCATTCCTATACCTACACGGTGCGGCTTGTTTGTAAATGAACAACCTTTTTCCTGTATCAGCAATGACTATAATTGTTTGAATGATTGAAATTGGGGATAGCGCCTTTATAAATCTGAACCACCCACCGCGAACTATTAATGCCCTGGGTCACGGAAACCGACCCCGTTCCACAAAGTTGGAGCTACGGACAAAACTCCGGCCTCGGACGGGACTCGAACCCGCACTTTTTCTATGCGGGCACCGTGCTCCTATCCATTGTTCTACCGAGAACCGCTTGCCCTCGCCTTCTCAATGGCTTATATGCCCATATATGTCTATATATGCCTGCTTATAGCTTAACGGCATTCACACGTACAACGTGTTCAGTGTTTCCTTCTCCGTCCATTCTCAAGTCTCCAGAAATCAAACCTGCTGATATTGAGGTCTCAAGATTCCTCTTCACAGATTCATCGGGCCATATCAGTGAGGAAAAAAGGATCACTTGAGTTGGCCGAGCCTCACTGAGCACGTTCCGTAGATGGAAAGAATAGTGTGAGAATCTGTCCCAGAAAAAGGAGGAAATAGTTTGATTGCAAAATCATTCGGAACAATCGGGGCAAAGAATAAGCTGAGTATGAACTTGAAAACGTTTTCGAACTGGAATTTAAAAGATCACTGGCCATCATTTCTCAGAGGAAAT